TGACCCCAAATGAATGAAGACCATTTCAACAGGTGCCAGAGCCAGCCCCTTCTGAATGCTGGAGCTCAGCAGGGATTTCCGTAGCAGCATAGCACTCTTCTTTTCCATCTGGGATTGTTTTCCACATGCAGATGAGATGGGAACACCATCCCACCCCACCTCCAGCCACGTCCTAGGCAGTCCCTGAGTGATCTTTGCTCCTTCTCCCTAGCATATTCCCAGTCTTCACCCCCTCATCTCCCATCCTCTGCACAGTGCATTCCTTGGAAGCAGGCTCACCAGAACACCGTCTCTGGCTCTCTCTTTTATTTGAGGCATGTACTTAGAATGGTGCTTCTGTTCCAAATGAATGAGTTGATTCATTCAGAAGTGCAGTTTCTGTTTTTGAATCAGTGGAGCTGTTTATGCTCATAGGGTCTATAAAACTGTTGTTTTAGTCCTGACACTGATGCTTATGAATAAAATTTAGATCTCATTCAGAAGACCATTAGCTGTAGCTATTTGGCTTCTTGTTAAAGCTTTAATTTTTATTGAGACCACATTGCCAAGCAGTTCCTTCTGCATCTTGCAGCAACCAAGTACCTCAAAGTGGAGACTTGGGTAGGACCAGATTGCAGCACATGTCCCCTGGACCCTCAGCTCCAACCGCTCTGTTGGCAACTGCTGGATGGCAGTGGGAACCTCCCAGTTCCCTCAGCTGAGCAGGACAGTGGGAGCCAGGGCACTGTGCTCAGTGGAAGGCCTGCCAGACCTGTCAGGAGCTGGCACAGCACTGCTTGCTCATGCTGGGCTGGATGTTGGGTGTTCTGGTGCCAATTAGCTCTCCCATGTATTTATTGCACCTTTTCGCTCGAAGCAAGCTGTTAAATGTCAGAAATACTTTAGCATTTTAGCAGAAAGATAATTTTTTAATAGATTCCACCTACAAAAAGGAGCTGACTGGCAGAATATTAAACTCAGGGAGATTTATTTTTACTCCATGCTTCCAAACAGCTTGAGATAACCATTTCTGCATGGCTCCTGGCTGATTAATGCTGCTGTCTCTTGCTTGTCCTCCTCACTTGGTGCTGTGGCAGCTGTGGCCTCTCACATCCCATTAACCTTGTCTGCAGAAGGGACACCTGGCCAAGGCGAAGAATTAGTCCTTGTAATTAGGAATGTAAACATCCCACACTGCCTACTAACATCCACCCATCATTCCCCACCTGCTCCCGGTTCTTGTTAGGGCAGGATACCCCCGATGGGCTTTTCCCATCATCTGCTTCTTACACACCAGCTTCCAGTCGTTTCTAGATGAGAGTCATATAGAGCCCAAATCAAACCCAAAGTAGCTTTGGTTCTTCAGGGATTAAGGGGAGTGTGTTTTGTCGCTGCTGGTTGTGCACTTGGAAAGGGGCACCGGCCAGTAGGGTTTGCTGGAACTGTGTGGTGAGTCTGTCCTCTCCCTTAGCAGGGCTGATGGATGCCCGGGACTCATGCTGGCACCAGCTGAGCAATTGTGTTCTTAGCGATGGTGATGTTTGTACCTGGGTGCTGTAGCTGGTGGCACAGCATCAGGTGGGCCCCAAGTGTTTCCACAGGAGCGCTGCCTGAGGTCATGCAGGGATATCACCTGTGACCTCTGCCTGTGACCCCAGGTTTGATTTTGGGGCAAAGCTGTACCAATCTGTTCTCAGTGTCAATAGTAACTCCTTGGTGCTGGGTGAAGCAATTGAGTTGTTACTCATAATACAGCAGGTTCTGAAAAATCAGGTAACTTTATTTGTTTTTTGGTGATATAATGAACTGTTTTGAGTGATGTTAGATTTAATGGCTAAATCAATGTGTGTATTTAGTGTTAGGCTTTATTTTAGCACTAAGTGACATGAGATAAGCAGACTTAGAGGGTGTTAATTGGTTTGTGTTTAGCATTTACACTAATCAGAGTGTGCAGTGCTGCCCAGGGCTCTTCAGCACTAGCAATTCTGTTTATCCAAACCATGAATTGTTTACTCTATTGACTGGAGTGGCATTGGGCTGTTTTTTCGCTCACTTGGATGTTACACTGCATGTGTGAATTAATGGAGAGCCCTGGCTGACCCTGAGTGGTGCCACACACGGTGTGTGTGGGAAAAGGTGGCTCAGCAAACCCTGACGAAACAGAACATGACCAGGTCCCTGCACAGGCAGTGTCGCTCCAGCATTATAAATAACAGAGTTTATTTTCCCTCCATGGCTGACGTGCATCTCCACCTTCATTCCGAGCAGTGCAGGAGCGAAGAGGAGCCCACGCTCCCTGTCCCAACCCTCTGCCTTTGACAATCAAGCTGGAGCTCCCATCACCCCATTCCTGAACGGATCCACTGCTGGTGCCAGGGTGCAGTGAACCACACACGTGAGACGGGGTTTATGGGCTGAGATGCTGTGGCTGTGCTGCCCAGGGAAGGATCTTCCCAGGTCTGCTGGGCAGTGTGGATGTAGCCTGTGGATGTGCAAGAACACACCTCCACAGTTGTGGCTGGGCTGCCTGGCCCGGGCTCGCATCTGTCTCATACTGGTGGAGCAGATGTCTGGGCAGGAGCCCATCGGAGCATCCCGGGCGCCAGGGACAGCACACCCCGGCCAGCCGGCAGCGCACGGCACGGCTGCCTTCAAAATGGCTTGGAAACAGCCTTGCCACTGCTCTGTTCCCATCACCTGGCTGGTTTTATTAGAGTTGGTTTTGGATCATTTAGTTTTTATTCAAACATTCACTTCCCAGCTGAGGTCTTGGAGAGCTCTAGCTCCCTGGACTGGTGATGAGCCCCTGGAAATGGAACTGCTTCCAGGATGTGCTGACAGCCCTTACTGCTGCTGGGAGCTGCCTCCTGAGCCATCCCTGGCCCTCCCCTCTGCAATCCCAGTGCTCGCTCTGCTCCTGAGCCCCTGGCTCTTGCGGGGACAGGTGTGAATCACCTGTGAGAACCAGTCATGTGGTTCCCCAGCAAGAATGTTCTGGGTAAGGGAGGTCAGACACACCACAGGCTGCTCCTGCTTCAGGCTGCTCTGAGCTGTGCTGTGAGGCACAACAAGATGAATTCCCTTTTATTTTGCAAAGTGCTGTTTTATTGATTTCTGCCAACCAACCCCCAGCTGGGTTGCGGTGCCCCTACAGTGCCCGGGGGTACTGGGGAACCTGGAGTCACGTTGTGTGGAGCCGCAGCAGTGTCGTGACAGTTCCTGGGGTGGACACTAAATCACTGTGTGGGGGTGAGCAGAGGGATGTCACTGGGGCTCGGGGAGGAAGCTCTCTGGTACCGTTTGCACTGACTGTGTGATCTGAGTCAGAATGAGAATCATAAATCTTGATTATTCTCTGTCTCAGCTGATTTGAACCAAATGCCTTGGATGGGGATATAGTTCACATCTCACTGAAAACTGCAAAAAACCTGATTAAATGTACAAACTGATATCAATAGCACTCTATCTGTGTTAATGCCCAAACTGTCAGCACTTGGGGAGAGGATCCCATGTGGATGGGCTCTGTCCCAGCCCAGAGCAGCTTCCTGGGGGCTTTCAGAGCAGCTTTCTCCCTGCTGCCATTTATTTTGGTACTTTGTTCCTGCAATGCTAGCTGTTATTATGATGCTGTCAATTACAGATGGCATCTCTGATTCTGATTGCACTTTGCTTACAATTAAGCATCCTATAGAAAAATGGAAATGCTGGGTCATTAACATAGTGTGATAATAAGGTAAACCATTCAATTATGGAGGAAAAAACACTTTGAATAATAAGGATATTGTATACCTAAAAGACATACAGATGCCAATGTATTACCATTTTTGCATACATAATAAATGAACTTAAACCCTGAAATAATTGACAGAAGCAAATAATTAATAGCTGCACCCTCAGCAGCTGCCTGGCTGGCATTGCTCCCTCCAGGGGCAGAGGAGCAGCTCCAGGAAGGGAATGGAGGAGTCTCAGATCTGCGTGGTCCTTGTGGTCACTGTGGGATGTGCCTTGGTTACCACAGAACTTGTCTGATGCTGGAACTGAGGTGGCTCCCACTTGCATGGGGAGGAGGCAGAGAGGAGGCTGGCATGGCATGGTGGTGTGTATTGCTGCCTGGAATGGCAAGTGGAGGGCCAGGCTCTGCTCAGGGTGTCTGCTGGGCTCCAGGGGCTTGATGCAAACTCTGGCCCACTGTAGGTAAAACAGTGGGGTAATGTGCTTTGGACAGCTGAGAGGTTTAATGCAGTTGGGAAGATCTTGCCACACAGTGTCTATGTGGAGGGATTTGGGACTGGCCTTGCTCCAGCATCTGCTGTCCCCTGAGAGCCTGTCACCTCCCCACCTGCCCCCTTCACCTGCTCAGCCTGCAGCACTGGTGGCCTGCATGGACCAGTCTTGTTTACAACTAGAAAGGGAACATGCAGGTGGGAAGGTGCAGAGAGTCATGCTTCTGGACACTAGCTCTGACTAGCCAGGGGCTCCTGTGACAGCCTTGATGGTGGTTTTGTGTCCAGCCTTTCCATGCCAGTGGGGTGGGAGCCCCTCTCCCATCCCCGTCTGCCAGAAGCGCTGGAGCTCTGCACGGGATGTGTTTTCAGCCTGTTCGGCAGTATCGCTCCTCTATAACAATTGTCAGCCTTTTAGCTGTTGATGGCTCACCTATTACTCTGGCACTGTGTTAGAATAACATCCAGATACATCTGAAGAGTGGAATTTATTTACTGTTTTCCCTGAAAAGCTTTTAGCATGATACAGCCACGGTGCTTTCACTTAGGCAGCCGTTATTGTGAGAGTGTTTTTCCTGGTATAAGTAAATTTTCCAGAAGATGAAAAAGGACTCCTCATGATGTGTAGCTCCAAACCACTACATTTTAATATTCTATTTTCATGGCCTTCCCTCCCAGGAAAGGCACATATTTGGGAAACTGGAGTAGGTTTGAAATGCCCAGATGAGCCTGATCCGTGTTTAACATCAGATGCACGGTGTGCACACAGCTCTCCTGCTCACCTGTAGCTTTCCCAAATCCAGCTGACTGTTCCAGGAAGCACAGCCTGCAATACTGTGGGCTGTGTTGTTGACAGTCTTTGAAACTTCCACGGGCATCAGTTAGCAACTGGCAAGGACAAGCTGGACGGGAGCTCTCCTGCACGGGTGTCCGTGCGGGTTCCTGCCACTGTGCTTGGGGTAGGAGGACACAGCTGGCGATGAGGGGCTCATCGTGCTGTGTATTGGCAGAGCTTCCAGATCAGAAATCCCAAGGGAGTGGGAGGTGAAGGTCTGCAATGACTGCTGCCAACAAGGTGCACTGGACTGCATGTTCAGAGAGGATTTCTGTCCTGCGAGCGGAGATGGCACGTGCGTGGGCATTTCATGTGACACAGGCCCATTGTAGCTGCAGGGGCCTGGGGACTGGCACAGGGAAGGCAAAAAATAGTGGAAAGTGAGTGAGCTGTCACTGAAGGGACTTGAACCCCTGTGTTGAAGGGAAAGCTGGACTGGGAGCAGACTACCTTGACTTGAACATCCTCAGTGAGAGGAGGCAGGACACCACTGCCTGCCTGTAAGTGCTTGTTCCAGCGCTGTGCAAGAAGCTCAGACTAGGGCTGCTTTGCTATAACTGTGACAAATATAGTAATTAAATCTGGTAGATGACACTAAGAGATTCCCTGTGAATAGGATTGCAGTGCTTCTGTAGAGAACGGTAGTGAGGCTTAGTCAAAACAATTTTGACAGCACAGGGGTTAGAAATAGGCGTTTTCTGCCTTTTTTACAACCTGTTTCATGGCTGCATACTGACCGCCAATAAATCTTGCACTAAAATTGGAGAGATTGGGCCAAATTTATCCCTGGTCAAACAGTGTCACACTGAACATGCATCTCCATCCACAGAGCCAAGCAAAGCTGAGTGGTGCTGAGGGCTGTTTGTGACACCCAGGGCCGTGTGTGCTGGCACAGATATGCTGAGTGCTCCCAGCCATGCCAGGAGCTCCTCAAGTGCAGAAGCAAACACACCCCTGTGCATCCCACAGCTGCTGACGAGGAGGGCAGTGGAACCCCACAGCACTAACCTGAACCTGTCCAATTTGTATGAGAGCCATGCAGTCAGATAGGCAAAGGATTTTGGCACAAGGCAACAGCCATGTCCCAGAGGAGATCCACTTGGGGAAAGAACAGAAGAAAGCAAGATTTAGCATTTAGATCATAATTTCAGATTGTATTGTGTGAGCATCAACAGTCTATACTCATGAGAGCCTTGGGGAACACAATGCTGCAACAGCTCTCCCAGCCAGCCTGATCAGTGAGGGTTGGTTTTAATTGCAGCTGAATGGATCTAACCTTGTGATGTCTGTTCACAAAGCATTGCTGGATTAATACAGGTTCCATAGTTGCTTCTGCTAAAAGACTTTAATGGATCAGCTTAGTTCTCTGTCCATGATTATAGCATCCCTACCCGCCTATCATGCCTGAGCCAGATGGTCCCAGTGAAATCAGAGCATGTTTATATTTCTGTCTGCTACTCAGCCACCTGCCCACTGATTTTGTTGCATAGTGGTAGGAGGAGAGGAGCCTTCCCGGGTGCAGTTTGCCCACCGCTTTCCCTAGCCCCAGTGTCTGCCCCACCTCCTTAAAGACCCTGGAGGAGCCATGGAAGGACCTTCCCTCCAGGGTGCCCAGGAGGCTCACCCAGCTGGCCGGGAGGGCAGACACCCTCCTGGGCAGCAGCACGGCATCAGCTCCTGGCTGATGGAGTCAGCTGCTTCCCAGGGCACTGGGGGATGTTTCCAGTTCTATCGGTGATGAGAGCCATTAAGAAGGTACAAGTACTAAAGAGATCCTGAGCGATGCCTATAAAACCTTTGAATCCCTGACAGAATCAATAGCAGGTTCTCAGGAGTAACTTCTTATCCGGGCCAACTTAAGCACATGCCAATGAGCCGTTAAAGATTTTGCATTTTGTGGAGACACAGAGGCCCTTTCATTGTGATTTTTGGACTGTAGACTAGGTGAGATGATGAAAAATCACATTAGAAATAGGCTGTGCTCCAAAGGCATTTTCCTCAGTGTCTGGGAGAGTGGCTTGAATGATGCTCGTGGGTGGAATCATCCCTCCAGGCATGTGCCCTGCACCCCTGGGCTGGGGAACCGAATCCTTTGGGGATTGCCACAGTGAGCAGCACTGACTCCTGGCCGTGTCTGCCAGGACAGCAGAGGAGGAGGAGGAGCAGGAGGAGGAGAGGGAAGAAGGAAGCAGGGGAGCTGTGCCCCATGAAATGGAGGACCTGGGGCTGGCACGTGGGACACAGCCAAGCTGCTGCAGTGCCCTGAACCATCCCACCACCCCAGGAGGAGGAGCCGTGGGTGGCCTGGGCAGGTAGATGCCCACTGGGGTGCTTGCAGCCTCCGGCCAGGCACTGCCCCCTGCGCACACTTGCCACCTCTTGAGCACCTTTGCTATCCACACCATTTCCAATTTGGCATCTCGGTTGCCATGGCAACTCAGCGCTACCATTCTCTGATCCGATCGGCTCACAGTTAGTCAACACCCGTTAGCACCTGCGTTGGTATGGCAACCCAGGGCCGTGCTCCATCCCGGCCGATGTTGTGGATGGAGAGATGGCTCCAGGCGGCCCCTGGCAGCAATGGGGGCATGACTGGTCCTGCTGAGGGGCACTGAGACACTCCCAAGCCCTGACTGCTTCTTATTGCCTGGCTGCAGTGGGATCTGTGGCTGCCCCCACTCTGGCTGTAGCGTCCTGGGTTCCCATATCCTGCATGGCCTGGGAGACACTGGGGAGAAGCTCAGCAGGGATGTGGCTGGCATGGGGCAAGGAAGTGTCCTTGCAATCTCAAACTACCCCTCGTGAGCATGTTCTGCATGGACACCAAATGGCCTGGGGAACTCTGGGAAGGGGGGAAGCTCCTTGTCTTGGAGACAAGAGGAAACCAACGGTATAGGCAGCCATCGCTTGAGGATTCTAAGTCCTGAAAAAGCAGAGCTCAAGTCACAGAGAAGGATGGTTCACTCCTTCTCCCAGCCACCAGATTCCTAACCATTAAACTCTTCCAGTGAGTCTCCTGTGGACAATTTGTGTTCCTTTGGCCCCAGTCTGAACTGGCACCCGCTTTTCTGAAAGTGCTTTACAATTTGCGTTTAATGGTTTTTAACAGACATGTGCGAGCCGTTTGAATTAGAGCAGTGTGAATCTATTAGGCAGCGACAGATGCAAGTTTTGTGTCTCTTATTAGAAGGGATTGGCTTCTGAGGTTTAGTGATGTGCAAAGGATTGGACTTTGGAGAGATTAAAATTATTTTCAGCGTTAAGCACAATATTTCTGAGCTAATGCACTCACTCTTGAATATAGATTCACAGACCGAAAAGATTATAAAACATTAAACCTATGTAAATTCAGCTGTAAATTTATGTTTGAACAAATTCAACAAGAGATTTGACTCGGGGGCTTACAGCAAATGGGTTCTGCTTTTAATGCATTCTGCAGGCTCAGTTGCAATGCTGCTCTCCCCTTGAAAGTCCCACGCCTGTTGAATTATTGGCAGGTCACAGCTGACAGCTCAAGCAATTATACCAGAATGTGTTAATAATAAAAAGGAAAAGGACTTCATGTTTGTCTTTTCAGAAGACAAAAGCAGATGTTTATTCCACTATGAGGAAGCTCTGTGGGCAGGTGACACTTGCAGTATCTGGCCATCACCTCTTTCCATGGCAGTCGTGCAAATCCATGTCCTCCTCTGCGGTTCCCCAAGCCCCCTAGCTATGAACTTTTTCTCTTGTTGAAAACATGAAAATACAGTTAACAAAGACTCCTTTTGAGTGGGATTGCAGGAAACCTGCAACGTCGTGAACAAGCTGCCTACACAGAGATAAATGACAGCTGTGACTGAAGGAATAAACAAGATAATCTGGATTTAAATAAACCACAAGGGGATTTTGGCAACATGCAAATTCACAAATTTATAAAATGTATCCTTTGAAAATAGAGAGCTCGTCTGAAGCCAGCAGTTAAGAACAATTACTACAGCACATTTTCCCAATGAGAGCTTAGAGCTGGCCTCTGTCTCAAGCTAAGGCACGTGGGAGCCAGGGGTCCTGCCAGCTGCCTGCAGTGACTGGGGCCCTTCCATGCACAGAGCAGAAACATGAAGGAGTGGTGGCAGCAAGTCCCCATGCAGCCCGGGGGCCTGGGGGTGCACAGAGGAGCCTGGCCCTCCTCAGCCTCTGGGCACAGCACTGGGGAATGAACAGGGAAGGAGAGAAACATCAAAAGCCCAAGCAAGCACCCAGTAATACATATTGGATCAATCTGCTTGGAGGACCAGGTAATTCCTGGACCCAAGTCCCACATGAGAGTTTCATTTTGGCATTGCACAGCTCAGCAATGCTGCACCAACAACACAAGGGGATGACGCGTGTCCCACGAGGGAGCAGAGGGCTTCATAGAATCATAGGATCAGCCGGGTTGGAAAAGACCTCTGAGATCATCAGGTCCAACCTTTGATCCAATACCACCACGGTTACTAGACCGGGGCACTAAGTGCCACATCCATTCTCATCTTAAAAACCATGGCTTGTCCATGCCAGTGGCAGTGGAGCTCCTGCCAGGGGCTTGTTGTAATTGCTCCCCTTTTTCAGGTGGGCAGCAATAGAGACGGAGGAGCGGCAGGCGGGGAGACACCAGTGACAGGACCATGAGTAGACGTGTCCCATTCCAGCCCTTACTTCCTGGGCTGCTCTGCGGAGGCATGTCGGGTGTGGTTACAGCATGGCTGTGCCTCTTCACCAACCAGCCTGGCCTCAGAAGGGACAGAAACGCTGCAGGGAAAGCCAGAGTGTGTGCCAAAGGCTACGTGTCCCCTCCAGGAGCAAAGGCACAGCCCCATGCTGCAAACTACTCTGCAGCAGCCGCCGCAGGAGAGCGATGCAGCATCGCTCTGCCCGAGCACACAGATCTGGTTAGCATTCCATCGGCGCACATGCAATTAGGGCAGAGCACATGGCAGCAGCTCTCTGAAGGTTAACTGCTCTGAGGAGCATTCCTGCCGTGCCAGTGGCTGGGCTGCTCCAGCTTTAACACCCTTGTTATTCCCAGCAGCAGGAGCCGGCGGTGCCGTGTGCCGCTCTCTGGCAGCAGCTTTTGAGTGCTACAGGCTGTGTGCAGGGCCCCTGGCTCCGAGGCTGCGGGCTCAAGCCCCGCTCACCAGCACGGTGTAGCTAGGCACCTGCCTCAACAGGGCAGCAGCTGGGAAGGGACTCTGAAACATGGCAGAGTTTGGGGGAAAAGCCTTTCTGCGTGTACATTCCAGAGCCAGAGTTGTTCCAGGCTCTGCAGGGCTGAGGTGTCTCGAGGACTCACTGCAGCTCCCAGCTTTATCCTTAAAACTGTACAGCAAAAACTGAATCTGCTTTCCCTCCTCTTTTCCTTGATCTCTGCTTCCCCGCTGTCTCTCCTCAGCACCAACCCATCCATCCATTTGTCTTTATTGTGCACAGAGTTGAACATGGTCTTTAAATGTGGCAACACTTTCAGATTATTAGCTCTGCAATTTCTTGGCTCATGTTTATTGTGATGACATCATCTGAAGGGGCCATTGTAATTAATAGTTTGTTCGTGCCCCTTTTATAAACCCCCAGTGTGTTGTTTATACCAACCAAACCAAACACCCTGGGGTGACTGGTGCTGCTGTGGGGAACGGACACCCCGTGCTCATGAACAGACACCCTGTGATCATGGCCCTGGTCCTTTCTGGAGGTGAGTCACTCCCCATCCTCCACTGCCAGCCAATAGCCCAGGCTACGAGAATGGGCACGGAGTGATGCTGCCAGTGGCAGGCCCCTGGCAGCCAACAACCCTCCTCCTGCTCAGACCCCATCTCTCCTCCCTCCTGTCACCGCTCTGTCCCAAGAACGAGACATAATTTCTACCCCATCTGTCAGAGGCTTGTGGTGAGCAGCAGGGAGCACCTCTGCTCCTGTTGTCCTCCGGGCAAGTGCTGCTGCCCACGTGCTCAGCCTCCTGGCCTCATTTTCTGTTCACTTTCCTCACACCAGTCCCTCACACCACCTCGTGCTTGGCCAAGGGCACCCTGTGGGCACCCGAGGGCTCATCTCTGATTGTACCGTGGGCTTGCTGTGATGTGCGTAGCCATAAAAGCTGCTTCCTTCCCACAGGGCTGTTAAATCCAGGTGCTGGATCCCCCCACAGAAGCTGGTGTGTAATTCTGCAAATGCTCACATACCTCTTAATTTGTTCAGGCTTTTCTTAAAGGAAAAAATACCTCAAGATGTATCGTTCTGACTAATCCTTGTTCCCTGCATGTCACTGCTACTCAAGTGGCTGATGCGAGGCAGGGATGAAGCACAAGAGTGCTCTGGGCAGAGGAGAGGACTGCAGGCACCTTGCCATCAGGAAGGCAGCTCCAGTGGGGCCTGATGCCAGAGGGATGGGCTTCCTGGAGAGCCTGGCCACCAGCATGCTGTCTCTGAGACAGGGAGCTGGAACCCTGCAGCCCTGTGTCCCCACAGGCCCCATTGCTGGGACTCAGATAGAGACTGTTCAGTTGGAAAGGTTCTGCAGCAGGAGAGGGGCAGCCACAGAACTACTGGCCTCTTCACCCAAAATGGTGAGGGCACTGGAAGCCCTGTGGCAGCCCTTCGCCTCCCCCAGCAGCACCTCAGCAGAACAAGCCTGGCACGACCACAAATTATGGGGGAGGTTAAAGCCATCCGATGCCTTTAGCAGCCACAAATACGAGGTTACACTGACAGGCACATCTAGCTGGGCTGTGCCTGTCAGCTGCTTCTGCTCCAGGCTTCAGCCATGTGATTTCTGAAATGGGTCTTCCTGACACCCAGCAGTTTGACGTCAGCATCGCTGTGGTTGCTGCTGCCCCAGGTGCTCTCACAGAGCCATTTCCAGCCTATTCACATTGTTTCCTCACCATATGTTTGTACTAAAAAACAGTTGCAATATGAAGGAATAATCCTGCAAGATCTGGGCATGGCCAGCCTGCATGTGCCACAGGAGACCTGCCTGGTGCTGCGAGCACTTCCCGGGAGCAGTGACTCCTGGGCACCGTGGCAGGGCTGGGGCTGCCCACAGCTGGGGCCACGGCACAGGTGGGCATGGGCAGTGAGCAGGGGCCCGGCTGGTGACACAGCCACCAGCCCCTCCAGCCCCGGGCAGCACAGGAGGTGTGAACAAGGCAGTGGTGCTCTTGCAAGGGACATCACTAAGTACCCTCTGGCTCACTATGATAATCCTTAACTGGGGGCACTGGGACAAGCATTTACCTCTTCATTTTCTTAGCCATAACTGCTATTTCACTGCAGTTTCATTTCACGATATGGTAATATGCTATCCAGGAAAATCTTGCTACATGCTAATTTATCCAGTAGGCAAATTCCTTTTGGCTAATAAAAGTGCTTGCATGGGAAGCTCAAAACCCAGCAGCAATTAATTATTGACAGAGCATGTGAATTAGAGATAAAAGAAAAGTCATTCTTTCTCACACACAAGATAGTAAATAAATTTAATTATTGTACTAGAAGCAAGGGATCTTATTCTGTATTAAGTTTTATTAGCTGAGACATTTAAAAGCATGTCATCATAACAAAAAGGTCCTGTGTAATCCGAACTGCGCTGCTCTGTACAGCAGCTCTGGAATGAATAGGCTTAATTGAGCAAATGGGAGCAGATGGCTTCTGAACAGGCAGGTATTGTGCAGGTTTAGTGTCAATTAGCTTTGGTCTACGTATGCCTATGGCAAATTGCCTGTATAATGTGTCACCAAGGCTGACTTAACATTTCAGGTGCCCACCATGGCCAGGGGCTGAGAAGAAACAAAGTCAGAAGTGTTTGGGTCTGTGGGACCTATGGGAGTGACAGCGTCCCTCCTCCTGAACATCCTGCCAACACTTGCACAGGGCAGGAGGGACGCTGGGATGCCCACCCCTGCCTGGCCCCTCACTAACCCCCTCCTCTGCTTCTGCACAGGAATGTGATGCCCAAGACGCTGGATGGCCAGATCACCATGGAGAAGACCCCCAGCTACTTCGTGACCAATGAGGCCCCCAGGCGCATTCACTCCATGGCCAAGGACACGAAGCTGATCGTGGTGGTGCGGAACCCGGTCACCAGGGCCATCTCGGACTACACGCAGACACTCTCCAAGAAGCCGGAGATCCCCACCTTCGAGGTGCTGGCCTTCAAGAACCGGACTCTGGGGCTGATTGACGCCTCTTGGAGTGCAATCCGCATCGGGATTTATGCCCTGCACTTGGAGAACTGGCTCCAGTACTTCCCCCTCTCCCAGATCCTTTTTGTCAGTGGTGAGAGGCTCATCACTGACCCAGCAGGGGAAATGGCCAAGGTCCAGGACTTCCTAGGCCTCAAAAGGATTGTGACAGAGAAGCATTTTTATTTTAATAAAACCAAGGGGTTTCCCTGTCTAAAGAAGCCAGAGGACAGCAGTGCTCCCCGGTGCTTGGGCAAGTCCAAGGGTCGAACTCACCCCAAAATAGACCCAGATGTCATCCACAGACTGCGGAAATTTTACAAACCCTTCAATGTCATGTTTTACCAAATGACGGGCCAAGATTTCCAGTGGGAGCAGGAAGAAAGTGATAAGTAGAAACACAAGATCAGGAAAAAACCTTTTTTTTTTTTTGAGATGGGAGTCATCATTTGAGACTCAAAACTCACTCGAGGCCAGAGGCTCAGCCCTGTGCGTTCCAGGCTCTTGCGCTGTCCGGGCTGCAGCCAAAGTTGCTCCGCGTGTCCACTTCTGAAACTGCAGTGGCTTGTCACCTCGGGCTGCTCTCGGGCTCTCCCCACCACGACAGTGGGGGTCAAGGGTGGGTGGGAGGAGGAGGAGGAGGCAGAGGGAGCAGGGCTCCTTGGGGTGATGGGGTACTTTGTGTTGACATTTCACTGCTGGTGTCCCCCTTGCCGCCAGGCAGGCAGGACCAGGCTTCCTGCCACAGCGAGCTGGGTGGGAGGGCAGCTCCCAAAACCCAGCACTGGGACAAACCCATATATTTGATTTCTCCTGCCCTGGATTTTAGTTTTTCCCAAACAACGGCATCAGGTCTGGTAAATTCACGCCGTGTGCACTCATATGCACACTGCTCTTAGTGTGTGGAAGGAATGAAGCCAGTTATGCTGCAATGGAACTATGTACAGAACTTCATTTGCACCACATGTTTCAATTACTTGTTGCACTAAAACTAGAATTTACTAAGTGCCACAAACACCTGGGCCCAGTTCTCCTCCGACTGGTACATCTCCACTGTTGGAAGAGAGTTGTTCCTGCTTTGCTGGGATGCTCAGTGAGGTCAGAACTGGGATCCTCCCAGACTCTCACCCTCCTAGAAGCTGAAAGAACATTCCCCAGGTTTCCAGGAGCAAGCCAGGCTCCCAGTGCCCGGCCAAGGCACAGCATGAAGCCACACCTTGTCTGTGCAGCACCTCCTGGCGAGGCCGTGCCGTGCCCTGCTCACAGTTCGGAGCCGGGCGCTCCCGGGGGTGGCTGCAGGGCAGAGGTCTGAGGACAGCCCCAGCACAGGGTCTGACCATTGGGACCCCTGGCACTGCTGTTCATTTGCACCTTGAAAATGCAATCCCTGCTGCTTGCTGTGGACAGCTGGGGTTGCAGAACAGGGAAGCAGCCTTCATCATACTTCAGAATTACAAAACAGTAATTAATTCCCAGGGCAAGCACTGCTCAGCACACAAAACCTGTGCTTTCTAGTGGAAACGGCCAAGTCAACTAAATTTGCAAATCCTGGTAGAAATTGTAGACTAAACCTATATCCCAGCTGGATCCTCCAACGCCATGGGAGCTGCTTGCTGGGCCCAGCAGAGAGCAGGAGCAGTGCTTCGACACAGCTGCAGGGTTCCACCTCCATCGCTGAGGAAAATGAGAGAGAGAACAGGCAGAGAGAGAACAATGGGGAAGAAACACAGAGCTGCTGAAACGGTCCCTCGCACGCTCGGATACTGCCGGCTGCTCCCTTTGCTCTGATGAGGGCTACAGATGCCTCCAGGGTGGGATGTAATGACATGCAAGCCCCGTGCTGTTGGACAGCAGGTCCCTGGCAGCATGGAGAGCGGGATTGCTGCGGGAGAACCAGGACTCAGCTCTGATTAATGGAGAACTCCCTACGGCTCCAGCTAACCAAATGAAATCAGCGTTGCACTGGGTGACAGACTGAACCTACTTGGGGTTCCAGGGCCTGTCGTGTGGTTCATTACACCATGAAGTGGTGCTGGTGCCTTGTATTGGATGATAAAAGCTGAAGCCATTTGGACAATTTACTGCATGGGCCATGCTGGAGGGGCACCACAAGGTCCCTGCTGACGTCACGTCAGTTCCCATCAGCCTGGTCAGATTTAAAATCAGCTCCTGATACAGCACAGTTTTCAGAAACCCACAAACTTCCAAATTATTACAGGAAAATTGGAAGTATGTAATAGGAATAATTTTACAGTGCTTCACATATTATTAAAATGTCAGAACAGGTCCTGAACTAAACCTGTTGTTGCATAATTTGGATTTGGTGCAAGATACTTATTGGAAGATGAGGAGCTCCAGGCCCAATGTTCCTGTCACCAGAGGGATATCCAGGAATCTCTGCCTGTGTCCAGCATGCTGCAGTCCTGGCACAGTGTTGGGCTGGCCCTGGCGGACAGTGGAGGTGGTGGACTGGTGGCCCTGGCTGCCCATCAGAGGGGCTCAGCCCCAGGGGACGATGGTTCTTGGGTGGGCCGGGGAGACGCTGTGCCCACTGCGCCTCTCCCGCCTGCCACTCCACATCCACTCCTATTATTTCTGCCATATATTCAGAGGTTTATTTTTTATACCAGATGTCATCTCCAGCTTGGCAGGAGCTGATGTGTGCCCAGTGGGAGAGGAGACCCCGCTCCCCTGCCCTGAGCGGCTGCCCCATGGACACCAACCACTTCAGCATGGTGGGATAGGACTCCCCTGCCCCCAACCCTTTCCCGAGGTACACACCAGGCACTCTGGGGTGGGCTGGGGGCACAGGGACTGGGGGAGGTTATTCTGTTTTGTTCTTCTGAAATGCACCCCATGGCTGCTGCGCTGTCACCAGGGCTGGAGGGAGAATTATTTTCTATATGGCTGGAGAGTGGTGTGCCAAACGAGAGTCAGGTTAGTAACACCTTTTTTTTTAAACTATTCAAATGTCAGCATTAGAATACACAGGAAATTGAATTTTGTATTTGGTTTCAATTAGCAAAGCATAAATTATATTTAATTTTATATACAGACTGGGTGATTGATTGTTCTGGAAAAGCTGGTACTTTCTGGTTCAGAGACTGAAAATGGAGAGTTGATCTGTTCTGAACCCAACCTGCTGTGCTGTCGCCTCCTCCCAAATGCGTCTCTGTCGGTCGGTGTCTCTGTACCTGAACGACATGACCGTCTGGAACTGAACCCTGGAACCCACAGCACTAAACAATAAATCGTTGTAGCAGCTGCATTTCTCGATTCCGTTTCTCTTGGACCCCCCCAGCAGCACCAACACCCCATGAGTGGGAGCCACGACAGGACAGCGCTGGCCATGATCTGCCACCTGCCAGCCCAGCTGGCTGCCCCTTCCTCCCCCATGGGCCACAGCTCCACCACTGCCAAAAGGGCCATACTGCAGCCAGGACCAGGAGGAGGACCAGGACCACCTTGGTCCTGACCAAGGCCAGCCTGTGTGTCCTGCAGTGAGGTTTGTCCCTGCAGTGGGGGACAGCTTTCCTCACTGACCTCGCAGCTTGGGGTGCACCTCCCAAGGTCACAAAGAACAAATCCCCAAGCAATGCCTGGGAAGTTTCAGTTGCTGATTAAGGATAAGTCAGTGGATAATAAAAGGAGAGAGAGGGCTGGCTGCCAGGCAAAGAAATTAGGAGGAAATTTTTTTAATCTTATTTTGTGTGCACAATTTCCTGCTCATTTGAAAAAGGTTATTTCGCAGCAGAGCCCTATTGTGTCATCTGATAAAAACCACGGAAAAACTTTTATCAACAAGATTAGGAAGTAGTGAACTATAAAATTGCTAATTATTTTCTGGTAAATTTACTTTTAAATAACTTTAGACACCAATTACAGGCACCATTAAGCACCATTAACACTGGGTATATTTACCAAACAGGGATGGAATACTTATTCAAATCAAGATCATTTTGGTGTAGACTTTGCTGTTTGGAAAGCAGCCCCTTCTCACCAGATGTTTAAAAAGCCATCGGAAGATCAATTACACCTCAGGGTCCTAATCTTTGAGTTGTGGTGTGGTATAATTCAGCCCTTGAAGGATACACCTGTGAGCAGGGACTAGTGCCCTGCGGAGGTGCCCCGGCAGCACCCGCGCCTTAACGTGGCACTGAGGCCAGTGTACTCCTCTCCCCCAAGCCCCGAGAGAGTCCCATATTCAGCTGATCCAGCTGTCTCTTGCAACGCCTCAGTCTCTGCTCCGAGCAGGATTCTACCCCCCTTGGCCCACCCTGTTGGAGGGCAGCGAGCGCAGCTCTCGTGGCAGCCGCTGCCCTGTATCTCTGCAATGCTGTAGCTGGGAGCCTCCCACTGCCTCCTGGGATTTGCTCTTCAAAGTGTTCACCAGTTCCCCATGCCCTCGGGAGCGTGTCCAGCCAGTGCAGTGCCGCAGGCTGCCCCAGTGCTGCATCCTGGCTCCCGGGAGCAGGCGCCGGGTGCTCTGCACTGCGATGAACACCAGCACACACCTCCTAATTGGAGGTTGCCAAGCGGCTGTCAGAGAACTGGCTGCAAAGCTGCTACCTGCTCCCACTTTTCCTGCTGTCATCTTTGACATCCTCATTATTTATTAACTGCCCTGTACCCAACAGGCTGCCACCAATGTGGAGATGCTCAGATTATGCAGGTTCGATATTCTGCCTGCCTCCAAGGTCACGTCCTCCAGGATGTCTTGCAAGCCAGATTGAAGAGGTACCAGCAAAGATGCAACATGTTCTGTATATGCCAATGCCAGGTTTCAAACAGAGCCCTTTGAATAAGGATGACTTACTACATGGCATCATAGAATCTTTGAATTGTTTAGGTTGGAATAGTCCTCTAAGACCATTGAGTCCAACTACTCCCCCAGCACTGCCAAGGCCACCACGTGTCCCCAGCTGCCACATCTACATGGCTTCCAAGTCCCTCCAGGGATGGTGACTTCATCACTGCACTGAGCAGCCTGTACCAGGCTGGACAACCCTTTCCATGGAGAAATTATTTCCTAATATCCAGTCTAAACTGGGCCTGATTCCCTGGTTGTCTTGTACGTGCTGTATGTTGACACTCAAGACGATCTGCTCCATAAGCTTCCCTGACACCAAGGTCGGACTGACAGGCCTGTAGATCCCTGGAGGCATCCTGAGCTCTTCAGGACTGCCTCCCAAGGAACTCTGTCAACCAGGCTCCTCAGCAGGTCAGTCTGCCCTCTGGCTGTCCAAGGAGGCAGCTCTACTGACCACTCTTACTCCTCCGAGAACCCAAATGCTATCATTTTGGGTTTGTTGTGCCCCAGATGGGCTCTGATCACATGGTGGTATCAGACCCTGCTGCTCACTGCTGTTCCCGTTCCTCTGTGCAGCAGCTCTGCATTCTGCACCTGCGTCAGCAAACACAGGACCCAGAGTGTCAGCGAGGAGCTCTGCCATCACCTCTCATACCCTGGGACCAGGAGGGCAGCAGTGTGGGGATCAGTCAGCTGGGCAGGTTGCAACACCACAGTGACCCGTTCCAGCTCTGTCAGCAGGAATAACCCTGCCCTCGGCCGCTGCCTCCCTGTGCACTGGTGCCTGT